CAGCTAAGACTGGGAGGGGACCATATAGGTATTGAAATAATTTGAGTGTCAAATGTCAGAGAATAGCGGTGATGTTGGGGAGCAGTGAGGTTATTTGTCCGTCCAGTTGTTTAAGGTGCTCTTTGTCTCCAAGGTTATGTATCGTTAATGATGAGCTATTTGTGCGGAATGCCAGCCCTGAAGAGATCCAAAGAGCCTTTGCCATGCCTGCACCCACACCTTCCTCCAGCCCTGTGCCCACCCTCTCCCCGGAACAGCAGGAAATGTTACAGGCGTTCTCTACCCAGTCTGGCATGAACCTTGAGTGGTCCCAGAAGTGAGTGCTGTACCTACAGGACAGGGGTAAACTGAGGTGGGACTGGTAGAGAATGATGAGTACTCCTGAAATTTTAAAAGCCAAAACCGTTTAGTTCCTTAAAATACAAACCAAGTGAGGTGGTGCATGCCTGGAATCCCAGTGGCTTGGGAGGCTGAGGCAGAAGTATTGCAAGTTCAAGGCTAACCTCAGCAATTTAGTGGGACACTCTCAAAAATAAAAAGTATGGGCTAGGGATATAGCTCAGTTGGTAGTGTACTTGCCTTGCATGCACAAGGCCCTGGGTTTAATCCCCAGCACCACACACACACACATAAAAAGGACTAGGGATATAGCTCAGTACTTAAGTGCCCTGGGCTCAATTCCTAGGGCCAAAAAACTGGGCACAGTGGTCCATACATGGAAACCGAGCTACTTGGGAAACTAAAGCAGGAGGATTCCCAGTTTGAGGCCAGACTGGGCAACTTGTCAAGATAAAAAGTACTAGGATGCAGCTCAGTGGTAGAAAGTCCCTAAGTTTAATTCCCTATACTGGGGATAAAGTGAGGTGGGGTGGTGCATGTTTATAATCACAGCTACTTGAGGCAGGGGGATCACAAGTTGAAGGCCAAAGGAGCTGAAAATCACATTTTTAAGTGCAAGTACAGCAGATAATTGTTGGTGGTGAGTGTCTCTGGAGGATGGCTTCTAAAATAGCCCTTAGTGTTCAGGGTGAGTACATTTTGGTTCTCATGGAACTTCCTGTTCTTCACTGCCAGGTGCCTTCAGGACAATAACTGGGACTATACTAGATCTGCCCAAGCCTTCACTCATCTCAAGGTAAGATTTGGGAATACTATGGCAAAAAGACAGGGCTCTCTGAGCCTTGGAGAAGGTTAAGTGAGGGTCAAATGAGTAAGGCATTGGGGACAGGAAAGGGACACCTGGCTGTACTGACCTTTTATTTTTTTCCAGGCCAAGGGTGAGATCCCAGAAGTTGCATTCATGAAGTGATCCATAGTTGTGCTCCAGAAGTGCGTGTGTAAATAGCCCTTGGATATTATTGTATGGTTGTCATCCCTTGCCTTCTGTCCGGCCGGAGGCCACCCTGTGACTGTGACTGAGGAGGGAGGTCTGTGGATCCCGCTCCTCACCTGCCTTCTGGAAGACTTCCTGAAGACTTCCGGAAGATTGAGCCTCACTGGTGCCAGGAAGCCAAAGCTCACTTTGTAGAACTGACACTAAACTACCCGAAGGACTTAGGTGCTTTGTGTACTTAGCCCCAGGATTCCCCTTACTTTTTAAGATAAAGAGTGATATTGTATTTTGCCTCTGCGTTCTGGATTGCTTCTCGTGGCGGGCGGGGCCTCGGCAGGAAGTCCCGCCTCTGAAGCAGAAGTGGCCTGCCCGCCATGGCGGCAGCTTGGAGGTGTTCTCATGGGCTGCTTGTGGCGCTGCGGCGCCTGCCCACGCGCCAGGCCCTGCACCATGCGACGCCGGCGCAGGATGTGCTACTCTTCGAGCAAGAGCGGGGCCGGTTCTTCACTATCCTCGGACTCTTCTGTGCTGGCCAGGGCATCTTCTGGGCCTCCCTGGCCTTCACAGCTTGGTCTGCACCCCCGGTCCAGGCGCGACCCGTGGATGCAGAGGCCCCAGACCGCGGCCGCTTGGACCTGCGCGCTGTGCTCTGGCGCTACGGGCTGGCGGTCAGCTGCGGTGCCATAGGTAAGCCATGGGCCAGCTTCTCTACCTGGAACCGGGCAGTGGGCTCTAGGCTCAGTCAAGGAGAGATGAGCAGAAGAGGGCGCTGTAGTCCCTGGGTGCCACATCCTCTCAGCGCTCTGTCCTTGAGCAAATTTAAGTTTTAAGCCCTTTTCCTGAGTTTTAAAATGGGGATAGACATCGCCTAGAAGTTTGTTAGATATAAGAGGTTCCCACTCAAAAATGTTAGTCACACTCATATCTTTTACTCAAAGGGAAAGGGTTGGTGTGTGTCCTTTCAGTGAACACACCTCACCCCGCTGCTGTGCTCTTCTGTAGGGACCCTGGTACTGGGTGCTGGTCTTCTCTTCTCTCTACGATCTGTGCGTTCAGTGATGCTTCGAGCAGGAGGGCAGCAGGTGACCCTGACCACTCATGCCCCTTTTGGCTTGGGAGCCCCTTTCACCGTCCCCTTGAACCAGGTATCCTGCATGGCCCACCGAGGAGAAGTTCCTGCTATGCTGCCTCTGAAGATCAAAGGCCATCGCTTCTATTTCCTCTTGGACAAAGCTGGACACTTCCCCAACGTTCAGCTCTTTGACAACACTGTGGGTACCTACCGGAGCTTGTAAGAAGCCACCTTGGGTCTTTCACTCCCTCTCAGAAGGAGACAAAAAAAAAGGGAAAACAAAACAAAATTGGACCTTATGGATGAGGTGACAACCAGGGTCACCAAGGGGGAACCTAAGATTCAATAGTAACAATTAAAAGAGTTGTCTAAAGGGAAGTTGCCTGATCCATGCCTGTTTCACCTTCACTCCTTCCCATCACCTACTTGTTTTAACATCAAGAACACAATACCAAAATGAAGAAAGTAATACTAATATTTTGGTACAAAAACAGCTACAGGAAGAGAGGTGGAGAGGGGCCTGTTACCTTTCCCTCCTGGAGGGAAAACTGGGGCTTTCAGCACTAACAGGGCTGTGTGGGGACAAGAGGATTACAGGCACTTGGGCACAAAGTCGTTGGCTGCAGAATGCACTATTTGGTTACTCTTCAGGAATGGGACAGGCGTGGCCCAACAAGAACATCTGTCTCAGAGCTCCACTCAGGGTCTCCCCTCTCCAGAGGTCGGTATGGGGTGACTTCAGACTTCCACTGCATGACCTGGAGCACCAAAACCACACTCCATAATACCAGATTCACCCATGAAGAGGTCTGTGGGAGACAGAACAGGAATGTGAGGAGTCAGGCCATCACAGATCCAGTCCTTCCACCCACACACCAGTCTGTCAGGCTGACACGCCCTTCAGCTCCTCTTAGCTTGTCAATGGTAGGCCAAGCTCATATTCATTGGTGAGCATCCTTATAGCTACAGATACTTGTATGAATAAGTGTGTCTCTGAGTCTCACTTCAGCATTGTGTAGGTTGGAGTAAAACTGCAGAGCTGTTCCAGGGGGTGTCCATGGAATTTTCTGAGCTTCAGAGCAGCTGTGAGGTCAAAGAGACAGTTTTCAGAAAGAAGTGGGGATACACCCTAAGCATACCTATACCCAGGTGCCCTTTGAGGTAGAGAGCAACAGACAGAAAATAGGAGGTTACAGGACTCCCCCTCTGCAGAAGGAAGGTAGCCCCAGCCAGGCTTCCCTCCCTCCTCATTACCTAATTGTACTGTTCAGGGAGATGATGGAATTGCAGAAGGATCTGGTGCCAAATCGAAGGATACAGGCAGATACTAAGACCAGGAAGATGGCTATAGCTGAGATGGCCAGTGCAACGCGGAGCCCTATAAGACCTCTGGGGGAGAGAACAAACCTTGCGGTTGATGGCTTCATCCCACCTCAGCCCCTGGTCCTTGGGTTGGGACATTCACCTTTTTGAGTCTTCGATGCAGCTGCTGTAGACCCAGAAGAGCAGAAGCAGGAGGCAGTAGAGGGCCAGGAAGCCAGAGGCCCCTGCCACAAAGTAGCAAAGGGATGGGGCCGAGGAATGGGATAAGGCCAGGAAGGAGCCATTCCAGGTGGTCATACCATACAACGGACAGCTACCCCTGAAGGAGCCCTGTGGAGAGAAGCTGCTGAGTCTCAGATTTCAGTCAGTGCCTCATGACGCAGGTTTCTGGCAGGTGTTAGGAATATGGGCCAGGGCCACTCTAGAAATTATGTGTGCATTGTTAGTTCCTGTTTCAGGCATGAGAAACTAGTATAGAGGGCCTGTTGGGTAAACCTCAGTGGCCAGAATGATCAGGATGTAGGCAGTGGTTATAGAAGACAAAGAACTTCGAAAGTCTCACAAACTCTGGTCTTCCTTTGTGCAGAAATCACAGAGACCTGTGTGACCTTCAAAAAGTATCTCCAGTGTTATCTAGTCTGTAAAAGAGACATACTAGCGCCTACTTTATAGTGGCTTAATGGTCCCACGTTTAACAAGATGGCCTGACAGTAGTAAACAATCAGTTTTCTACAGGGCTGTTGTCACTTAACATAGTTGCAAGTGTGGCTGCTTGATCACCTTCACTACACTATGCTTTATTTCTCTTATAGTTCAGCACAAATGGCTCCTGATTCATCCGAAGAACGCAGGGCCGGGGCGGAAGTCTCTTTCAGAACCAGGGCAAAGTTACGCAGAGGGAAGCTCTATCTGGCGACGCACGACTCTCCTGGCATCTGGTCCCTTTGCCGAAGGAACGGCTTCGGTAGGACCTGACTGGGCCAAGCCAGGGCACGGCGAGGGTCGCTGCATTTCATCCGCAGGCCAGCCGTCGCCGGGCCAGAGTCGCAGCCTGCCTGGCCACCCGCCCGGCCCTGCCCCCAGCCGCACCTGGGTCCGGGTGAGCGTCGCGGCCGCCACGGCGCCGCACAGGAAGGCGGCGGCAAAGAGCGCGAGCTCGACGCGCTGCAGCCAGGGCAGCGCCATGGCGCCCAGGCCCCGGGGAGCAGCGCCTCGGAGCCAGCCGCCCAGCCCCGCCTCATCCGGCGCGACCCATGGACGCGGAGCCATCACTTCCGGGCGCGACATTTATTTGGGAGGCGGGGACGGGCAACCTCAGAGCGGTAGGTACAGCGAGTAGTCCGACAGCGCCCAGCGGCGGGCCGGGCGGCCGGTGCGGCCGATCATGGGCAGCTTCTGCACATAGCGGGAGGCCGGGCTGGGCCCG